ACCCCCCCCTCCCCGTTTTCCCGACCCTTTTAATGAGTTTTCCTTTAATTTGGAACATTCCCGTCGCTCGTTAGGCCACAGCTTTTAAAGCAATCGTTGTGGAATCCATAGAAGGTATCCACACACCCGGTGGGTGCAGGAGATAAAAGTCTTCTACTGTGTCCCCAGTGCAAAATTATTGAGGGAAATGAGAGCGTTCACCCCATAAAGCCGGGATGGAAAGTTGTAGGGCCAACCCTCACCGTTTCCTTTTGCTGAACTCATCTTTCGGTTCTTCAACCGATGTCTGAATCCCTGTTGGTTTACCATCACCCTCTGCATCACCTCCCTGGGTTAATTTTTTGGGGGGTGTCCCCGCTTGGAATGGTTTAATGCTGCGTTCTCCTCTGTGGGGTCTGTGAGGAGGATGTGGGGCTGCCCTCCTCTGGGTGTCCCCATGCCCTGCAGGGCTGTCCCTATGCTTTGCTCTGTCATGCTCAGGGCTGGGCTGGATCCACCCAGTAGGGCTGCTCCCAAATCCCATTCGCTTTCCGGCTCCTTTTTGCTCCTCGATCCTTTTCTTTTGCCCCCCCCCCTCCCCCCCCATACGTCAGCCCTATAAGATGGGAGGGATGGAAAGGACCCCCAGCCCCGCTGAGCCCCGCAGTGATGCCGTCCCCATGGTGGGATGATGCTGCTGGGCTCGGCTGCTGCAGCTTTGAATCGATGCTCTAAAAATAGGCTGGGTAAGAGAACGGAGAGGTGGGGGATCCCAGCATCCCCTGTAGGGCCGGGGGATGGAGCATCCTATAGGGCTGGGACCTGAGAGTCTCTCTGTGGGGTTGGAGAATGGAGCGTCTCCTCTGTGGGGTCAGGGAATGGAGTTTCCTATAGGGCTGGGACGTGAGTGTTCCTCTGTGGGGCTGGGGAATGGAGCATCCCTTTGTGAGGGTTGGGGAACGGAGCATCTTATAGGGTTGAGGACCTGAGCGTCCCTGTGTGGGGCTGGGAAATGGAGTGTCTGTCTATGGGGTCAGGGAATGGAGCATTCTATAGGGCTGGGACCTAAGCATCCCTCTGTGGGGCTGGGAAATGGAGTGTCTGTCTATGGGGGGTGGGGAACGGAGCATCCCATAAGGATGAAGACCTGAGCATCCATCTTTGGGGCTGGGAAATGAAGCGTCCCTCTGTGGGGTCAGGGAATGGAGCATCCTATAGGGCTGGGATGTGAGCATCCTTCTGTGGGGGAATTGAGTGCCCCATAGGGCTGGGGATGAGAGCATCCCTCTAAGGTCAGGGAATGGAGCATCCTATAGGGCTGAGGACCTGAGTGTCCCTCTGTGGGGCTGGGGAACGGAGTGTCCCTATGTGGGGTCAGGGAATGGAGCATCCTATAGGGCCGGGAAGCAGAGAAGCCTCCAGGACTCGGGATTGGAGCACCCCAGGGTGCTGGGATGGGGAGGGCTGTGTGTCCATCCCTGAGCAGGGATTGGGGTGCAGTCGCTCTGTGGTTCTCAGCTCTGTCTGTGTGACCTTGAGTGGGTCACCCCTCTGTCCCCTGCCTTGTCCTGAGGGGTGACAATGGCTCCAACCCCATGGGGGGCATTTGGGGTTCTCCAGCAGCCCGGAGATGCCTTGGGATTACTCTATGGGATCCCATGACCCAGATCCAGCCCTGAGATCCCATCCCATCGCTCCATCACTGTCACCCCGAGCCCTGGGGCAGAGGAGGTGATGGGGGGGGCGGGGAGTTTGGGGGGAGGGGGGGAGAGGTGACAAAGGGCCGGCGGTGGGGCTGTGGGCCGGGAGCGGTGGGTGATGGGGGGGGGCGATTTTGGTCTCCCTTTAATCTCCGTTTAAAATCCAGATCGCGGGTTTCTATGGCAACCGGGAGGATGCGGGGAGGGGGGGTTGAAGCGGCGGTGGGGCCGCAGGGTGGGTTGGGGCCGGGGCTGGGGCTGGGGCTGGGGAGGGGGGGCTTCCTTCGCTGCCGGTTCGTTAGCATCTCATCAGCATCTCATTAAGGCAGCGCAGCTCATTAGGGAATCCTCTCCGGGAAATTCGGTGCTACTCAGTCAGTGGGTCAGCGGGGAAGCAGGGCGAGCAGCAACGGGACACGGTGCCACTGCGCGGCACCAAGCAGGGTGACAGGGCCACCAAACCCCCCAAGAGGGGCCACCAAACCCCTCAAAGGTGCCACCAAACCCCTCAAAGATGCCACCAAACCTCTCAAAGGTGCCGCCAAACCCCCTCAAAAGGGCCACCAAACCCCCTCAAAAGGGCCACCAAGCCCCCCAACGGGACCACCAGATGCGTGGGGAGGGATGCTGCAGGTGACCTTGGGCAAGGACACGGTGACAAGCGCTGTCCCCGAGGAAGGGCAGAGCCCCGGCGCTGTCACGGCCGCTCTGTCCCCACGCTCTTCCCGGCACGGCGGTATAATTAGCTCCCGTTTGTCGTTAAGGAGATGTTGATGTAAAAACCACCTGCGTCTCTCAGCCGCCGGGCAGGGCAGCGTCCCCAAGGAGCCACCGCCTCCCTTTTGGGGACAAGGACACGGACGGGCGACGCCGCGGTGCCGGGGGATGTGGGTCGGGATGGAGTTTGGGGCGTTCCCGACTTTTGTCCCCGCTTTACAGATCCGTCGACGCCGACCGACGCCGGCCAGCCTGGTGCTGAGCAGCGACCAATCGTCCCCAGGTGGGTCACCGTTTATGTCGCGGTGTCACCTCGGGGTCTCCGGGTGGCAACGAAGGCGCACCGCGGGGACAGCGGTGACAGTGCGCTGCGCTGCGCTCCGGTCTTCAGCCCATCCATCTCCAGGGGAAGCAGCTGTTGGTGACGCG